CCCGGCCTTTCCTGGTGACTGCCTGCGTAGGGAAGAGCCCTATTTATCCACTCAGCCTCGGGATGCGGGCGAGGTCCGTCTCGCATCTGGCGGGCATCTACCCCCGCCCTGGGCTGAGTAACCTGGACCGGAATCGCGACCCTCGGTGCGGTGATGTGTTGCTCTAACCCGAGTTCTCCCCAGCTCGCGTGGAGGCGGTGCGGGAGGCAGCCTTCCTCCTCCTGGGTAGCTGGGTCCGGCTGACGCCCCAGAGTAGAGCGCGAGAGCTAGGGCCTCCCCGCGCGCCCGTGAGGCGCTCGGCAGGTTTCAGCAGCTGCGTGAACGGAGGCAGTTGGCCCAGGGTTGTGGCGTGGTTGAGGGGGACGTGTGGGTAAGCCGTGGTGTCCCCAGGCAGGGCAGGGTGTAGAGGGGGAAGCGGGGTTCCCTGTAGTGGCCTGGGGCAGCGGGATCCCCCCAAAGGGGCAGGAAGGGGAATGGAGCCAGGGCTGGGTGCAAGGGGCTGGGCAGGGAGAGCAGGGGCTGGGGGGGGATGACACACACACTCCAGGAGGGGCAGCACAGGGGCTTCAGCCAGGCTGAGGGCAGGCAGGCCAGGGCAGGCAGGCCAGGGCAGGGGTCGGTGCAGGAGGGAGGGGCAGGATCTGGCAGCCAGGGCAGGGCAGGCCTGGGTTGTGGGCTGGTGGGGTGCTGGGGTGAGGGTGTGGGGGCAGAGGGTGGTGCAGGGGGGGCTGGTGCTGCCGTGGCCCCTGCTGAGCTGCGCTCTGTGCTGTTGCAGGTGATGGGCATGGTCCGTGTCCCCCTCTACACCCAGAAGGACCGCATGGGTGGGCTGCCCAACTTCCTCGGCAACTCCTTCGTCGGAACTGCCAAATTCCAGCTGCTCTTTGCCCTGAAGATCTTGAACATGGTGCCGGAGGAGAAGCTGGCTGAGGCAGTAGCTGCCACACAGAAGCCGAAGAAGCCGGCCATCGACCAGGCAGCCGGGGCAACGGGAAACCTGCCTGCTGCTAAGCCGGTGAACGAGCTGGCGGCGCCTGCTAAAGCAGGCAACGAGTTGGCAGAGAGGGCGGAGAACGAGGCAGCTGTGCAGGCAGCGGCTGAGGCAGCAGAGCAGGCGGTGGCTGGGCTGGAGAGCGGGGCTGTGGCAGAGCAGCTGGTGGCTGTGCCGGTGGCCGAGGCGGTGGAGCAGCCGGTGGGGCTAGGGGCAAACGCTGTGGTGGAGCAGCCGGTGGCCGAGGCAATGGAGTGACGCCACCGTGTTTGTGCTTGATTAAAAGTGGGTGAGACTAGAGACTTATAACTTTCCAACCCGTCGCTGGCTGCAGCTGCTGCCCACGCGATTCCACTGCCCAGCCGGGAGGGTTTGGGTTTGTCTGAAGCAGGGGAAAGCTATGTATTTTTATGGCCATTAAACTCTAGCGAGCTTCCCAGATCAACCTGCACAGCCCCCTGCAGAGAGTTCATGTGCTTACGTGAGGGTGCCGAAGCCTTAGAATTCTGTTGTGATTTCAGGGACACACTGCTGCTGTCAGGTCCCCGTTTCATTTTTAAGGAACATAATGTCTTGGTTTTTAAACGCCCCGTGTTGACTTGGACGCGGCTGTTTGTTTGCAGTGGACACGGCTGAGGGCTGGGGCTGCTGGTCAAGCACCTCTGCCAGCGGCGGTGGAAGGGCTCCCCTGCGCCGGCAGTGGGGCGGCCGCGCTCCTGCTCGGGGGGGCCGGTGCCACGGGGGGCCGTGCCGTCAATTCCCTCTGGGGCCTGGGGGAACGCTTGTGTGGGTTTCTACCTGGAGATCTGTGGGAGCAGGAAAGTGGAATAAATGGCTTTGAACGCTTCACAGTCAGGATCGTTCTTGATGGCTGGCGCAGAGCTCTGGGGGTGCAGGGGCAGGGGGAGCACCTGTCTGTTCCCTCTGCCTCAGGGCTTTGCCCCCCACCCAGCTCCCTGGGGTCTCTGCCAGGGTGAGCAGCTGGAGGCCAAGGGGAAGTGCAGGGCCCAGAGCTGCTGCTGGGGGAACCTGGGACAGGGGGGGCTGGCTCAGGGTGCTGTGCCACCGCAAACCCTTGTGAAGCTTTTTCTGGTGGGTTGCTCCAGAGTGCCTCATGCACCCAAGGGCTTCAGGTACTAGAGCCGCTCCCAGGCGCTGGCAGCGCACATGGGGCGTTTGTCCTGTCTGTATGAGCGCTGCTGGGGCAGCCAGCAAGGAGCTGGAGCAGCTGCTGCTGCCCCAGTGCGTGGGGCCTGCACTTGCCACGCACCGTGGCAGAGCACAAGGTCAGGTGAAGGTGCTCGAGCAGCTGAGTAGAGCAGACTCCTGCGCAGTGACAAACGACTCGGAAAAGAGGTTTGGTTTAATTGAAGATGTTTAGAGAGAGGCCGATAGTGGCAGCATAATGCTCTTCAATAAATAACGGGCTGGGGTGGGAGGGGCGGGGATGTGGCCGACACCTCAGAGGACAGGGTGGCAAGAGGACACAGATCAGTCCCAGGTCCCCACAGATGTGCTCAAGTGCTGCAGCAGTGGAGTTGGGTTGTGTAACGGGCAAGAGAGAAAGTGTGTTTGTGCGGAATGTCAGTCCCAGGCAATCGAGAGAAAGAGATTCATTCTGGCCCAGAGAAAGCAAGTGCTGAGGGAAACCAGGGGCTTGGAATTGCTGAAGAAACTCATATAAACCAATAGATGTGTTTAAGTAAAAAGTGGGTAAGCAAAAAAAACCTGCCAAAACCAGAAAGTGATAACACACATGAGGCTGGAAGGGTGCTTCAGGTCTCCCCGCGGAAAGCGCTGTGGCTCAGGGGGGTTGCAGCAGCCCCTGTGCTCCCTCCCCTGCCAGCGGGTGCCAGCTGGGTACGGGGGAGCACAGGGACAGCCACACCTCCCAGGCAGCGCCTCGGCAGCACCAGCTCCCTGCGGGCAGAGCCATGGGCTGGCAGCGGGCAAGGCCACTGGGCTGGGGAGCGGGGCCAGGGCACCTGCTGACCAGTGAGGCCAGGCTGGAGGCAGCCAAACCCCCTGGTGAGGTGCCCCTCTGCTCCCGGGCTACTGTGCCACGAGCGGCCTGGCCAAGCCACTGGCTGTGCAGCCCTGCCCGACGCTTCTGCAGCAGCTCCACCATGTCGCTCAGAGGCGGGAGCGCAGAGAGTGCAGTGGGGTTCCCCTATCCCAGCAGAGCTTCACTCCCCCCCTGGGGCCCAGCCAGCACCCCTGGGGAGCTGCCTGCCCAGCGCCTGTCCTCTGCCACAAACCTGCGTCCCTTGAGCCTCACTCAGCCTGCCTGTACTTCTGAGCTGATGGAGAACCAGAGGTGTAGGGGCTTGGAAGGAGCCTCTGGAGTGCTCTGCTCCAACAGCCTCAGAGCAAGGCCCACACCGAGGACTGCCTTGGCTTCTGGGGGCTTAAAGGTCTCCAAGGATGGACTCACCAACAGCTCCAAGCTTGACTGTCCTCATGGAGACAGACACCTTGTGTCAAACGGTTGCTGAGCTGGACCTCTGAGCCCCAGAAGAGGGACCAGCAGTTCCCAGCAGAAGAGCCTCCTGCTCCTCCAAACCATGGTATGTGCCAGCCCCTGGGGCTGCAGCAAGCTGCTTCCTGCAGCCGGGGCTGTGGGGGGAGCTGTATTCACCAGGGCTTCTGTGCCAGAGCCCCTCTGAGCCGAGTGGCAGCTCATAGTGCCAGCCCCATGGTGGCCGTGGGCAGAGCGGGGGGGCTAGTCTCAGGAGCCAGCATGGTACCAGCTCACCTCCTCCACCCTTTCATTAAGTAGCTCCCACCTCAGGGGCTTACAGTCACCAACAGGTCATCTGGGCTACAGTACCTTGGCGTGCTTTCTTTCTCTCCTAAGTCTAAGCCTGACCTGTGCTGTCTCTCACCCCCGGGCCCTGCCCACAGCCGCTGCCAGAGCTGGTGCTGCCTGCACACAGGGGCAATGCACCAGTGTGGCTTAGACGTCCTTTGCCCAAGTCCCAGTTTCAAAATGAGAGAGGAAGGAGGAACATGGTGCTGAGCAGGGGAAGAGCCTTGGCCAGGGAAGGGGGATTCATCAGGGGAGCCTGGCAGGGTACAGGGATGATACCTGCACCTCCGACACATGCCTGGGCTGGCTGAGCTGCAGAAACACCCATCTTAAAAGCAAAGCACTCGCTCAACCTTGCTCTGAGGCAGGAAGGGTACCTGGCTGGCTGCACCTCAGGGCCTCCTCGCAGGCTGGACATGAACACAGAGCCGAGACTCAGCCCCGGAGGGGTCCGGTGGCTCTGCAGCTGCTGGAAGCTGCCCAGCGGCACAGCCCCGGGGCATGCCCACACCACAGCCTGAAGTACGCCCCTGAGCAGCTGGGGGGGCTTTTCTGCAGCAAGGAAAAGCTGCTGTGATCTGTGCCCAGAGCTCATCCCTAAAGATCCTGCAAGAGTCCAGCCCCAGTGCCAAGGGAGGGCGCCTGCAGTGGAGAAGGGCTCTGGCCATCCCCAGCTCCCCCCCCGCTACATTCCAACTTGGACAAAGGCAGAAATATCTATACAGTATAATATATATATATTTCACTATGAAATAGCAATTTCATTCCCTGCCTTCTACTTGATGCATCCTGAACTGGATGCTTCTTTTTAAATCACTCCAGAGGGCTGGCGGGGCCAGGTAATTTCTCACACGAGGCAGTCACCCTCCCTGGAAGTTACCCGCACGATCCTCGCTCCCCACCTCCCCTCACCCAGCTCCCCCCTTCCCTGGCAATAAGGGCACGACTGTATGTTCTGCCACCAGCGGCCTGCCAGGGTGCTTACGGCTCATTTACAGGGTTGGTCAGTGCAGATTCATTAACCTTATGCCCACTCTTTCAGCAGCCATGGTGTGGAAGCAGCACCTGAACCCCTCTACATCATGTATACAAATAGGAGCGAACCAGAGGCAAAGGGAGTAGCGGGGACAGTGCAACATGCACACAGAGTGGTGACGCGAAGGGCCCTCAGCTATGGCACAGCCAGACACCTGGCACGACAGCCAGGCCTGCCCGGGCAGTGCTCGCAGGCTCCAGGCCACAGGGGTAAGTCAGGGCTGCAGCCCCTTGAGTGTGAAGGCTACCAAATGTCAGTCAACCTGTGGGACAAGGGATCCCGTCCAGGGGCTGGGTCACTGACCAAGAGTCATCACTGGAATCGGTGCAGAGCCGGATGGTTCACAAGATGAAAGGAAGGACAATCCTACGGAAAGAAAAGAGAGCATAGCTGTCTCAGGGAAGCTGGGTGGTACGGGGCTCTGAGCGTAGGGAAGACCTTGTGTCGGAGACATGCAATGCAACTGGCAGCAAAATGGGCTACCAGTTGCTGTGCTGGGACACCAGAGCTGGGCAGAGTGTCACTCAAAAGTCTTGCAAGCTGGTCTAACAGAGCTGGGAAAGGGGGAAAGCCAGCAGAGACAGGTTCATTCAGCTGTCAGGCTCTGAGCTCAAGGAAACAAGACCAGAGTTCAAGTTCCCTTCAAATGAAACCAGCAGGAGTTTGGGCACCAGCTGGAGCCTGGAGCACAGCAATGCCCCAGACACCTTCACGGCAGCAGAACTGCCCTTCATCAGCCCTCGCTCGAGGACACTCCCAGCTGCACCAGGACAGTGGCCGGGGGATCTCGAGCAGGGAAGGGAGCTTTCCCCCAGGGACCCACCTTTGCTTTTTGTACATCTTCCGCTCCACTCACATCGTCCGGCTATATTCAATGCCACTCTTGGCAGAAATGCCAGACCAGGGCAGAAGGCTGCAGAGAAGGCTCTGGGCTTGTCGATATATCCTCTGGGGAATTGAACACGGGCTCAGGCTGGCTAGTGTCGATCCAATGTGCTGCAGGTAGTCAGTGGCCATCAGTTAAGGACAGCAACATTTTTACTATAACTTAAGAAATAACTTTAAATACTCTGTGGACTAGCACTCCCTAAAGAAACCCCATGGCATGGTGAAAGTTGCTCTGCTCAATTAGACAGATCTACTCTGTGTATTAACTGCTTGCTCCTTTCTATCAAAAGCAGGTCTCCTTTGCACTGTAAAAGGCGGCAGTTTGGGAACACAGGCTCTGACTTGTGTGTGAAATACCTCCTCGAGGCAGCTGCTAGTTCCCCTTGCACTCCCCATCAAGCTCCTGCAGGGACGGCAATCCACCCACCTGCCTGCAGAGGTTTGGACTGGCTAGCTACACCCGGGAAAGATCAAGTTTCTCCTCCATGATCCAGTGACCTGAAACAAACTCCCAAAGTCAGTTTGAGAGTAGCCTGATGAGATCCAAGCCAGGCCAGAATCACAGAGGATCCTAGGTCACAGGAAGCAAGATCGAGGGCTTCTCTGCCATGCTCCTGGTCAAATCCTGCACCCCACAAGCCAAAACACGCTTAGCACTTTGTCTAGGGAGTTTGTTAACAGTGTTAACACCAGCATTCGCTGTCACTGGCATCAAACTTGTTCCATCTTAGCAGTCAGCGTGCCATCCCACACCACCTCCCCGAGCTGTTCCCAGAGGAGCTGGGTACAAACAAGTCAAACCCCTCTAACTTCAGACTAAACTCACATCTGAGCAGGCATCGGTCCCCAGACCTAGCCAGCTCACACTTCTCTGGATTGTTACCCCAAACACAGTTTGGTGTTTGCTCAGCGTGCTCCACTGCTCATCAGACAGGAGGTCAAGGATATAAGATTGTCCAGGGTGGATGCCCGCCGTTGATGTACAGGACGTAGGTAAAGCCATCTTTGAGGACCCCTCTGATGGAATAATAATAGGGAAGATAGTGGTGCTGTTTAAAGTCTCTGTTTTCATAGAAGTTTATTGCTGTGTTGTTAGTGGTGAGGACGTGCAGGTAGATGGCTTTGCAGTGATCTTGGGCAGTTGTTGATATATGGTCTTTTAAACTTTCAAGCAAGAGCGAACCTGTTGAGGAAAGAGCCGCAGAATCACACAGTGCAGCTGCCTTCTCAGGGTCTGCACAAGGGTTCCACCTGAGATCTCCTGCACCCAGCGCCTCAGCAGTGATTGTTGCACATGCTTGAAGACCTCAGATCCTGCCCAGTTTTGTGAACCCAGGTTTCATGAAAGATTTTATAAAGACACAAACTTCTGATTCACTAACCACAAAGGTGAGCCAGACATGGGAATCTGATAAAATCCCCAGCCAAGCAGCTCTCAGCTTTGGGGAAGGTCAGTGAGTCATTTTCAATCAGTTCTATCATATTTATTATTTTAAAGCCATTTAGAACATCAGAGCATCAAAACAGAACTTCACAAGCAGGGTATCACATTGTGTCTGCTCACTTGAAATCTAAGAACTGGTGGGATTTGAAGATCCCTTCTAAGGGGGAGAGCTGAGGCACAGTCTCATTCAGCCCAGATTTGCTGCAGCCACTAGTCAGCAGGAGAAACCAGAGAAGGGCACAGAAAATACTCCAGCCCCAAGCAATGAGACCCAGAAGTTCATCCAAACCACCTTAACATGGCATGAAGGACCCAGCAGAACCTGCAGGGGAACTTCTTCCATCAGGAGTGGTAACAACAGGCTAAAGAAACAGCTTAGCTAATACAAACACACAGATGAGATTTATGCTGCTGTTTCACAATCCCCAGGGCACGTAAGACTTACAGCAGGACTCACAGGACTTCAGAACAGAAGTCAACAGCACTGACTTCACAGTCACTTAATAGTTAGAATTTGTATCAGCCAAGCACAAAAAGACACTAAGAGACATCAACAGAAGAGCAGTTTAATTTTGTTATGAGATATTCTACTCTTCTATCTCACAGAAATCCAACTGCCTTCTGGTTTAAGAATAGCAGAGAACTAGAAACCAAAGCCTTTTAATGTCTGCAGAGAAAAATCAGAGCTTTAGGGCTTAGAAGTATGCCTGGGGTGAAAAGCCTCCTGCATGAAAGACTTCAGCTTCAAACACAAGTAGAAAAACTCTCAAGAGAAAGGTCTCAGCAGCAGGCAGCAGCTTCTTTAGGTTGTTTTGCTATAGGTACAAATCCAAAGTTTTGAGAGAGCACAGCAATGTGCTGTATAGATGTAATGGATACAGGAAATAATGATTCTGAAAGAAAACTCCAGCAAGATGGAGCTGGGAAAAAAAAATAGGATTTGGAAATTGAAAGGAAACTCAAAACCAGCACAGTTTTACAGAACAGAAGACTTCTTTAGCACCTTCTCTAAATGTTATTGTGTGCTAGTATTTTCTTCTTTGTATAGAAAATTTATCTCCAGTAGCATTTCAATGCAAGTTTTAAATACAGTGCTCTCACTGAAGACTCCTCTGGTCATTTTTACATATCCTATCAGTTTATACCTTCCTAAACATGCCTGGAGGAGAAGGGAGGACTTGAAGAAGATGGGTTACACTGTATCCACTGAAGAGACTCCAGATGTGCAACACTGGGTCATGCTTCCAAACCTGGCCTATTTCCTTTTGCAGATCAAAGATAGAGCTCATGCTTGAAATTGCACCAGAAGGGCACTTATTTGATGCCAAAACACATCCTGCTCTAAATGGAGATAAGCCCTTCTGACTGCAGGATTTTCAAATGGCTGCAAAAATGCTGTGTGTTGCAGCAGGCATTCAGAGCTGACTTTTACATGCATTTGACAGATGTAATCAGATCCAAGTTACACTCTTTTTCCAGCTCCCTTCTTCTTTTTCTAAATGTTTGTTCTATCTGTTGAACGGTTAAAAGCACCTATATTTTCTGCCTCAGGGACCAAGCTTCTGATACCCATGAAAGAAAATAATTTCAAACCCTGCTCCAGGGTGAAGTCCTAGCACTTTCAGTCAGTCTCAGCAGCAGGAGTGCAAGATTTTGGTGTGCTCAGCTGTCCCCTGGGAAAATGACAGACAAAGCCCCGTGCTCTTTGGAAATATCTGCACATTGTGCTGTGCCTAGACCAGTAAAATCATCTCAGTGCACCTGCACGGATACCAACAAGGGGATGTGACTGCATCACCTCCCCAGTTGCTGGTACAAATCACCAACATGCTTGTCTCAAAAGGGTATTGCAGTGAAATGGTGGAGCTCCTTCAGTCATGCCCACTAGCCACGTGTGGCAAACAACAGCAACAGAGTTGTCACTTAGCAGCACCTTACCTATTCCATGTTTTCTGAACTCCTTCACCACTCCAAGACTTAGGATGTAAGCAACTTGAGTGTCCACAGGAAAATTGGAAGCTAGGATGTCTCCATCCTGAGTAGAGATATGACAAGTTATTTGGTAGGATGCCTGGAGAGGCACAGGAGAAAGCAAGAACCCTGTACTGGAACAAGGCTATAGCAGGGAACTTCTCACTGAACAGTCTAGCTGAAGCTTCTGGATAGGACATGGGGAGTTAAAAAATCCAAGCATGGTCACTTAGGGGTTATTCCTACTTTAATATCATCTTCCCAGATGCAGAACACAAATCCGGATGTCTCCTTACTATATACATAATCTGTGGGCTTAGGAACAGAATGTATTTGCATTCCTTACCAGGAAGGGTTCAAAGTGCCAATTCTGGAGCTACCCATCAGTGTCTAGATCAATCCAGCAACAGTTTTTATTGCCTGCATTTTCTGTCTGAGCTTTGTGTCAGCTGGAGACCTCTGTACTGCTGTAGAGGACAAGGAGCATGTTCTACAGGCTCAGTCGCCTGGAGCAGTGTCTGAATAAGCCTCTGGCTTTCAGCTTGGCTGGAACAAGAGCCTTTTGTTAGAGTTGCTGAAGATGCAGTTTCTGATTTTGACTAGCTTTGAGGTGAAGCCAGATAGCTAGAGTGAAGAGACCCATGTCACTCGATGCTCTCAGTTCCTACAAATGCTAAGATTATTGTTTAATCATAACACTGTTGGTCTTTCAGTGCATCTCTGAATTGCCCATGGTTTGTTTTTTGTTTTTTTTTTTAATTCACTTGCCTATGCTGTTTTCCCTCATTAATCCAGTAGTCTTTTCCCATACTGTCTTCAGTGACCATCTCTTCTTCATCCCTCTGCTGTACTGTGTTGTCTCTCCTGGTCTCCAAGCTCTGTTATCTCTGAAGCCTGAGCTTTCTGGACACTGGTTATCTCTGCTTTGTGTTCAAGACAGTGACTGTGTAAATGAAGGAGTTTCTGCAGGAAGTCACAGGAGTGACTTGCCCAGCTCAGCTAAGGAAGTTCAACCCTTATGTAAGAAAGGAAGAGGTTTGTTCTCCCACAGCTGCGCATACCTCAGTCACCAGCGATGACCAGGCACACCAAAAAGAGCCCAGCAGCAAGTTAAATGGTGGGCTACACAGGCACTTTTGGATTACGCCTGCATGATCCCCTCCCATCGGCTGCAGCTGCCTGGCCCCAGAGGAAGAGACTTTGTGGAACGAGGCTGCTCAGCAGCCCACATCCTCAGAAGCACCCCACCACGCACGGTCCATGAGCTGGAAACGGGCATGTTTGTGCTTTCTTAAATTAACTCAGGATTGCTCTTCTAAGTGTCTGGATGCAGGGGCGGGGAAAATACCACAAACAGGTTCCATCTCAGCTAACCATGGCAAGAGGTGAACTATGGTGGACCGAAGCACAGTTTAGTAGCATACCTCTTTATGCACTTTTGTTCTGCTCTTGATCTCTGCCACTATCATTCCCACGATGGAGCCTCTATATGTGGCTGCGAGGGAAAAGAACTTCTTGTTGGAAGTGATATCTCGGTACCATGAGTCAGGGTATCTGGGAAGGAAGAGACAACAGGAAAGTTTGGGGACACAGAGCCCACGGGAGCAGGCAGTGCTACAGTCAACGTGCCAAGATGCTGCTCAACTGGAAATGGCAGCAACATGTTTAAATGCCAGTCACTGGAACTGCAGGCCAATGCATTTTACACAGGACTAATGGAGGGAAGCTATACTACTGAAAGGGCTGTATTCCGCAAAGACACACAGCCAAGTAGCTCAGCCATATGTCAATCTAAAGCTCTTTCTATGCTACTAATTCAGTTTATTCCACGAAATCTGGGTTAGGAAGTTAATTCATCCTTCCTGTTTTAACTGTTGTATGGTCTCAGTGAACATCAAACAGTTGTTGTACCCCATTTGGTAGCACGGTTTCTTTCAGTTGCATCTAAGCAGCAACACAGGCTGCTCATGTAATGGCCTCCTGCTTTGCTAAGACAACCACATTCTCATTTTACATTTGTTGCCCAGAGCTCTCACTTCCATCTTCAGCAAGTTATTTTTAAATGCAAAATCCATCTGCCCTCATCTAAGAGCGTAAGGATCTCATTAATTTGATACACATGTGAAAAAAATACTGCATATTGGTACAAAAAAATCACATTACCAGCCTCCAGTTCTCCTCCCCCTTCTGTAGCTACAAAAGGAAAACTAACGTACACTAATTTATTTCAAAGTCAGAGTTCAGCATGCCTTGTGTTTAAAAGAAATCCACAAATTCAAACATTTATGAATGCTTTTGCTGGTTTATTACACTTCATGCAATCTTAATTATAATCAGCTAAAATCCTCTATAAACCTTCTCAACAAAGCTAAAGAAAAAAAAAAAATCCTTGAAGTCTACAGCTGCAGTTTCCCTGGATGCTTTAAGCCAGAAAGCTATCACTATCCCCAAGAAAAACTCCTTACTCCTGTGCTTTGTGCAGACACAAGCATTTACCAAATAGAGGCCTGGAGAACTGACCTGGGACAGACTGAGATCAGCTTTAAGCCAGAGCTTTGCCAGAGCTTTGGGAGCAACAGTGATTCTGAGTACACAGGCAAGTTACTGTTCAGTCTTGCCCTGGGACATTCAGAAAGCGGGTCCCTTAGGAAGAGCCACTTCCTGTCAGTTTAGTTCAGCTCTGAGGGTGCCTCCTTGGCCCACACCCCAGACAGAACACAGCTTTCTTTCACAAGCACAGGGATGATAATCTTTTTCCTGGAGGTGTGCTCCTTTCCCCATCTCATACACAGTCTTTCCCAAGAAGCTGATCCAACCCCTTAATTACAAAGCACAGCTTTCTGCCAAAATCTGTACACAGAAACTTTCTGATGACTTTAGGACTCTGCAGGACAGGCAGCAATGAGCCATTAACACAGTGCATAAAAGATGAAGAACTTGCTGCTATCTTAGCAACAGTCCAGATGGCTGCAGAGCCTTTGGTGTCAGCTCCAAACTGGACCAGTGCAGGTTCACACCATTTGTTTCTAGATTCCTGCCATCCCACACCCCAAACTGGCAGTAGTTACCACATACTCTATTGGGAACCAGTCTCCACAGAGCTGTTTCACTGTGTCTATGTCATCGTGGCAGAGAAGACGCAGGTTTACGTCTGTAAGTGCAGTCGGAGGCACCTCCTCTGTCATTCACGCCTGCAAGAAAAGAAAGCCAATCATTAAGAATGATGAAGCACAGATTCTGACACTCAGCTCCAGTCAGGCATCTGCACAAAGGCAGCAGGAGGCTCCCTGCATCAATAAAGTTCCTGGCAGAACAAGTTTTCAGGAGAGATGAAGCAAAACATGGTAACTCCAATCCAAGAAGCAACTCGAAGCCCTGTTGCCCACAGGATAAGCACGGCTCATTTCTCAGCGTGACCCACCTCACCAGCCCTGCATCTGTACACACCCTGCTCCCTGCGAACACAGTCCAGTGATGCTGCCTGTGAAGGAGCATGTGGCACCAACCACTGCCAAAAAGAGCTCAGGATGTTGCATAAAATAAGCCAACAATGTGCCAAGTGTACCTTATGATGCATGGAGCTTTTCAAATGTCTATGCAGGACCAACATTTTGTTAAAACAAAACTGAAAAAAACAGCTTAAAAAGGAAGCACTGCTAGAAGAACATTTATAAAGTCCTGTTACACAATACCATCATCTCCAGTTAGTACGTATGCAGAGGAATCAAATTCTTTAAAATATTAATTTTGTTTAACTTACGCCGATGAAATGAGATCCAGTTTCATTTCCCCTCACTCCTATGTGCTACAACCCCGCAAGAGCTGGCTTTCCATCCCAGCAGAGAGGGTTCAAATACAGAAATCCCAAGGTAGCCTATTCTTTCCCAACAGCACTACCACAATCCTGCTAACCACATACAGGACACTTACTCCAATGTCTTCAGCCTTTTTTGAACGAGGTACCAGAGGGAAAGAAGCAAGCAATAACTAAAGTGGTTGTAAAAGCATTTGTAGCGCAGACGCATGAATGAAGAACACATCTTGCAAACAGGCTTTAGGCAGGACAAAGCCCCCCGCAAGACACTGTGCACACAGAGCAAACAAGGCAGGCAGAGACAGGGCAGCTGAAGGAGTCGGTTCCCTTTCACGGGCCACCTGCAGTTCTCCATCCACAGCTTTGTCTCTCATTCCAGCCCTCTTAGTCCCAAGTCTGAGAACCAGACCAGGATGCAAAGAAAAAAAAACCATCCTTCATTTAAAAAGTTGTTTGATTTTGTTCTTGCTTTCTCTTCCCAATTCTAAGAGGCTCAAATCTTGGTTTTGAAATACCGAGTTATAAGGAAAAGCTGCACACAGCAACGCTAGTGTACACCCTCTTCTCCAAAGGGATGCTCAGCTCTCCTGCGCTCTTGCTTTGAAGGTCAGAAACTTGAGAAGGAACAGATATATGAACTCCCCACTGGACTAGATATGCCATTTGAGCACTGTCTAGGTAAAAACTGCATCACCTCCACAATACACTCTGTAACTGGCAAAGACACACAAAAGGAGTTGGCACAGCAACAATCCCAGTTTGACACGTTTGACAACACACAACTGTGCGCAACTGCACTCCTAAGAATTTGGAAACCTCCTTCCACTGTGACCCTAAGAAAAAAACAGGCTAAGCTATAAAATCCACATTCCACCCGCAAATTTCTTTTTTAAGGTACATAAATCAGCTTACTTCTGCAATTCCCCTAGATGAAGTGGTAGAGAGCAACTCCCAGTTTGCACACCATGATGCTGGGGTCCTTGGAACACAACATCAGTGCTAGAGAGGTAACTAGCACTGCTAACAAGAACAATATTCACCCTTGACTTTGGCACTCGCCCTGCAACACACGTTGTATGACACCTTTGCACTAGCTGGAGCAGCATGAGCTCCCCCCGGCTCCATCCTCCCGGATAGTAGCATAAAGCCCCTCCCTATGTTACATTGGCCCAGATCTCCCAGAAGGAAGGAGGAACTCTACCACTGGTTTGTATGCAATTTCTGGAACGTGTCAAACAGCCAATATATCAACAGAAGAAAAGATAGAATTAAAGTCCACTATTACTCAGAGAAATCTTTGCCAACAATTCTCCAATGCAGGGAGAAAGAATGGCAAAATGCTTTAATAGAGAAGAGGTCCAAGGACATTCTCCTACAGCTCCTGAAAAGATTAAATGGGGTGGGTTTCTTCAAGGAAGGAATCCATACACAGCTCTCCTCCCAGTGACTGATCCTACAAATTTGCCCAAGAAGGTCATTCAAGGACATGCGTATATTGGTATGGATCGCTTGTTCTTCTCCAAATAAGTCCTTAAAAAGAATCACAGCTATTTCACAGCCTGTTCTAGGACTGTGGCTGCATATTTACTGAGCAGCCTACAGCTTTCACAATCAGTCCAGATGCTAGTTTCAAAACAACTTAAGCACCTAGAAAACCCACAGAACCAGTACTCCTTGCTGCTCTTAACACTGATTTTACACTCCTAGAATTGGCTCAAGCCCTCTAAGGCTAGATTTTGAATCCGTACCCTGTCACAGCAGCAAGCACTCTCTACCACTGGCCCCTGGTGACCTTTTAACGTGTCTCAGCCCTGCCCCCGGGGCCCTGAAGGAAGGGCCCATTCACTTGCTGTGGCTGATCTGATCCATGCTGCTGTGGACCCCAGTCCCACCCTCCCACACACTCCTCCCACCCTTGCTGGACCCTTTGCTGAGCAGAGACCCACCATAAGATCACAAAGTGAGGCCAAAATTGTTTGTAGGTCAGAACTGCTCGGCAAAAGCTCAGGTAGCATACAATAAGCTTCAGGGGGGGGAAAAAGAGGGAGGAGCGAGCAGACACACACCAAGAGCTGCTTTGGCCGTGATGAAGCCCTAAACCCGATACATCGCTGTGTTAGTGGGTGTTAAGGGGCACTCAGGTTTGTGACAGCAGTGCTCCTTCTCATACAATTGATTTTTCTTGAGAAGTTTCAATGCTCCTGTAAGGCAACACCCCTTCTCAGTCAATACTCACAACATTAATAAATCAGAGATAAATGAAACAACCATGACAGAGCCATATTTTTGCTAATGAGTAGAAAAGGCAGGGGTCTAGAAGCAAACTTAGCCAGCAGCTGCTGCAGGAGAGGCAGAGCCAGCACAGGATGCATTCTTGTGAGGATTAGTTCATGTTTATTTAACACTATATTCTCAAAGAGCTAGGCAAGCATTATGCATTATCCTGTAGCTGAAGCCAGCCTTAAAAAAGTAATCCATGACTGTTTTGTTGAACAGGGTAATTCCCCTCCCCTCAAATTCAGACAGCCGTTTCCCAGCACCGGTTGTGTTTGCAAGGACTCGCTTCATCTGCTCTGCATTATGTGGCCCAGTCCAGATGCTCTTGCACATTTAAAGAGCATTTAGGACACCCGCCTGGTACTGTGTCCTGCCACAAGGTTTTAGGAGAGCAGACCCGTGCACCTTCCTCCCTGGCCAGGTGTTGCTGCTGCCAGAGGAGCTGCTGTAAATGGCTGCTGTGACCTAGAGAGAAGAAATCCCAGGAAAGTCAATTCTCTTCATACCCAGGTGACAGCTTCTGGCTCTTCAAAGGTATCTTGAGCAAACACCCAGGACCCAGGCCCTGCCCTTCGCACAGCCTGTGGCGTGCTGTAATTAGCAGAGCCAGAGTCCTGAACAATAGCCTCAGCTTGCACAGTGAGGAGAGCATCACTTCTAGAGGAAGCTTGCTTTTTTTGGAGGACAAAATATGTTTGGAAGCATAAAGAAATGTGGAGAGTTTTTTGGCAGAAAATGGACATCTCAGCTCGACAATGTCCTTGATTGAAGAATAAAGAACGACTGAAGAAAGTTGGCAGCTGATAAACAAGAAAATGCAGAGTTGCAGAACTAATGAACTAAAGGACTGATAACCAGGATGCCAATGGTAGAGGTAATCTTTTAGCTTAGCCAATCAGTGTACTAGAGCTTGTGGACAGCAAATGCACAATACATTGTAGCCAACTGTGATAACACAGATAATATAAATTCTCAGTGTTAATAACAATAAAGGTCTCTGTTCACACTGTACACAGAGTCTGTGCCTCCATCTCTTTAAAGAAATAATAAAAAAACCCAGGATCAGTGTAACTTACAACCCTAGCACTTAATGGAAGTTAAAAGGCCCTTAGCATAGCTCCACTCATCACTGCAACAACACCAAGTTCTGACCTTTGAGATCAAGTAGTTGCTGTGAAGCAAAACATAGGCTCCAGCCACGTGCAGTCACCTGAAGGAGGTCCACAGCCATTTTTGAAAACCCAAAGTGAAGTTATCTTATTTCTTTTAATATCTTTTTCTCAGGAGTCAGCTTTTTGCTCATGTGATGGCTGCAGCCTGGGACGTGGCACGGTTAACACCATCCACCGCCTCTCCACAGCAGGGCACAGTGACTGCACCTTTTTATCAAAATGGGAAACACTTGTTTATGATGATTATAAAGTGAGCCAACATTTTATGCTTTTGAAGGGATAGTGCAGTTAAACATCTGAAAAAGCTCTGAGGACAGGCCTTTCCAAAATACCAAAGTTAGCAGTGAGTAGAACTAGCAACTGAGCATTTAATTCCCTTTCCTACTTAGAAACTGCAGTTATTAATACACAACCAATTAATATTTAGTCATAACAGAAGTTGGATGAAAAGAAATAGCAAATGCATTACTAAATAAGCCGACGTAACATGTAATTTTCAATTTAAATTGCACATTGTAAAACCTAAACTTATTATTTAAAAATAATGTCATAAATCTCTGGCATCAATAAGCTCTAGCTTTAATAAGCTAAAGAACAGTATTTCATAATTCTGTCTAAAAGGCAGAGGAGCCTTTAGCTTCCAGCATCAGCCCAAGCGATGGCTGGGTCTCCATGAATTATCAGTGTTCACTCAGCACAATGAGCCAAGTACTGATATATTCCTACCACCAGTACTTCCAGGCCCTAGTGTGCAAGAGCAAGTCTTGTTTTGAGTTTAGGTTAGCTACCAGATGCAGGGACAGTTTCTTTACCTGAACTAGGTTCTTCACAGCTAAGAGACCTTAACTCAGGCTTTTCCCAAGAGCAGGAAGTTTTCTTTCCCTCTTACAGCTCTTGTACTTAAAAAAATAATTTTAAAAAGGATAAAATTTACATATATAGATATACCATATTTCTAGAGAAACTAAATTAGCCACATAGAATCAGAACACTTAATTGAACAAGGGTGTTCAAATGCAAGACAAAGCCTGATGCTTACTAAAATTTGGCAGGCAGCTGCTTAAACGCATTTTAAAATCCCTCGAGCACTTCCATACCTACAAAAGCCAGGCCAAGTGATTCAACAAGTTAAGATTTCCCCTGTTTAGCAATATTAGACATGTTTTAACAATGCTTCTGCCTTGTGCATCCTGCGAAAATGAGTTGGATTTCAGCAATGTACCATCACAAGATGCTGGTTTTATGAATTTTTGTTTGGACTTCAATTTTCATCCAGAGAAGCTCATGAAAATCCCAAATAAAAACGTTATCATCTAGCAACAAATATCACTCAACTTCCTGGCAGAATAAAGGCAAGGTAATCTAAGACTAAAGCTAAACAAATACTAACTAGAAGCATATACATATATAACTTCAATAAAGCGTGTATTGCTTCAATTTCAGTGTTCACACAAAAAACAACATGAAGGAATCTTCTCCACTTGCAGAAACAAAGCTAGACTGAAGTTCATCAAAATCTTTTACTTTCCAATTTAAAAGCTAATTGAAATCAATTCATCCTGAATGGAAAGAAGCAAATCTGCAGGGAAGAATAAAAACAAGCACTGGCAGGCTAGTGGATTTTTATAAAGTGATCCTACAATTCAGGAAGTGCTGAAAAAGTGTCTGGAAAGACCCAGTCAACCAGCCCAGTACCACAGGCAACTCCGTCATTAAATGGTGCAGACCCTTATTGACTCGGGCTGAATATTTTCACCTTCTGTAATTCAAAGCATTTTCTTCAATCACACTCCTGCTAGATTATTAAGGATTACCTGCTGTCGTTCCACAGAAGGAAAGCATTAAGTTCCTCCTGACAGTTACCAAGTACACACCATGCATGGGTGAGGGCTGAGGAACTGCAGCTAAAGGAGTCTGCTGTGCCAAGGCAGTGCGCGGCACGGCACAGCCCTCCCACCGGCTGTCCGGCCATGTCCCTCTGCCTACGGCTGCATGCTTCTACCCAGCACTTCAGCCATGAACATATGCACAGTAGCTGTATTTTACTTTACGTGAGCAGACCATCTGCTCGGCACAAACACACACTCGCAGATGCTCCATGGAAGATCTGCATGCATGCACAGTGGGCCAGAGCTGGATTTCCTTCTACCTGGTACCCTCACCAGAGGTGCTGCTCCAGTGTCACCACTTTGTGACTTCTGTGTGGGCAGTCCTCAAATCCCAGCAAGACAAGATTTAAAAAAAAATAATAACAATTTAATGGCACCTGGCATCCTCTCTCACTTGTAAATAAATAAGATCAAACAAAGTCCAGGCAGAATGTTGAATTTCTACTCAAAATTCAGGACAGGCACATGTTAGCTGTGACTGAGCATTACTGTACTCAGACACAAACTCTGCTATTGTCTGGGGAGTATCACTTCAAGAGTGCCAGTGGGAGTTTTCACAGCTTTAAGTCTCTCTACCTTGCGCCATCTGGCACTGGGGATTTGATTTACATTAAACCATTCAATCTGAACCAGCCAAAGGTCTAATTCCAACAAAGCAGTGAAGATTTCCCTTCTGCATTTCATTTTAAGCTTACTGTGTTTTTAGGTTACTGGTCTCACAGGGAATGTTCCACACAGACATCCCTGTTACCAAGCTCTTCATTTAATGCAATAAAATTGCAACTGGATTTGAAAATATCATGAATTAATTACTAAAAATCTCAAAGAGGAGCTTCTAGGATTTAGGGCAACATTATCAAAGCAATAGGAGCCAAATTTTTAAAGATATTTAAATACTTGGCTTGATATCTCCTAGGTACTACTTCAAGCCTGGCCACAGAATAAAAAAAATTAAGATGGAAGGACCCTTTGAGCTTTAACCCAACTTAGATCAGGCTCACAGTCCCACGTAACGTCAGTGAGGAGCAAAGCTCTTCACCCTGCCTGGGCTCAGACTAGTTCCTTCACATCCAAAGGCACAACTGGAAAGCTGGGGTGTTAAACGTGCTGCCTACACCAATACAACCACCTCTGCTACACGTGCAGTACAGGCACACCTCTATATTCTCTTTGTTATGCTCTATTTATCCCATGTAATGCTCCTGCTCCTTCTAGGAATCCCATGCAGGTTCATTTGGAACAAGCAACATACAAATCCCAGAAGACATGGTTCTCCTCATTCCTGGTACATTATGCAAACTGACAGAGCTTAGAGTTCAGTCACAAGCAGAATGGCAAGTGTTTCACCTCCATTCTTGTACCATTCATCACATCCTATAGGAGTGCTGCCCCGAACTGCCATCACTGAATTCTCTGTTAGCAGAAGCAAATGTTGGGAGTCAGTGAGGCTCGTAATTGCAAATCTAGGACAAAACGACTGATTTTGTGCCTTAGTCTGAAAATAATGTAATGATATGGTTGGGAACAGGCTCTTAGATTGTGTCATTTCACAATAGTCCCTAACACCTTTAGATTCAGGCATGACATTTTTCTGCCGTTTGTACCAGAACAACAAGCACTGATCCTCAGAGCCCCTCGTGGACTCCTGCTCACTCAGGGACATGCACTAGCTCAAGACTTTGAGTTCCTCATTATTTAAACTCCTTCAGTAGCAGCATCCTTCTGTGCACAAAACTGCCTTCCACAACCACCTCCCCCTGCACAGTTTCCTAGGCTGCCACATCTTGAAAATACACCATTAGTCCAGCCCCGCTGCACAGATCCCGTGTGCCTCCAAAGCACACCCTGAGCACTAGTGCACTTCTCTCAGGGGCATCACTCTGGAGAAAGGAGTTTGTCAGTGCCTGGACTTTCTTATCCAGTAAATCCATCCCGGGCAGTGTGTACAACCAGCACAGCCCCACAGTGGAGGAGGGCAAAAACCTGTGAGCTTGGAGATGAATGTGTTGTCAACACCAGGAAGACTGGAGGGTAACTTCGGGTTTAGATAAGACAGCTGCACCAGCGAATCGTCAGGTGCACGGAGACAATTAACAAAGCCAGACCAGCATGGGGGGAGCATATACACAAGCTGAGCCCAGAGTATAACCTGCTAAATCAAAATCCCATGTTAACACCAAACATACCAAACAAGTAAATCTGATATTAAACCCTCCCTGCGTGGAGGAGCCTGGCCAGAGCACACTGGACTCGGACAGCCAGAAAGACAACACTGTCACACACAACCTGGGAAAACCTGTCCTGGCATTCAGTCCTCCTCCCAAAGGCTCCCATGCTGCTCAGCCAATCTTTCCTCAGCTCCAAAATTCTGAAAACATTATTCTAAGAAACACACTTGCACCTTGTCCCCAGCTCTGCACTTCATTTTCCATTACTCCCAGATTGAGGTGTGCACACCACAGGACTAAAAAAGTCTGAAAGCCAAAAACACAGAATCATGGTAATTAACATTTTGGCCTCCCGCCATGAAGGATCAGGATTTGAAACAGACCACAGAAGGATAGTAAGAAATGAGAAGGCAAAACACAGTTCTACCTGCACAGCAAGCAGCAGTTATTTGAAATGAAAACACTTACTGTTAGTGAAATTCTTTTATACTTGTATCCCTGATCCTCTGCACACTTGAAGTTTTGACTTGTCAGCCTGCCAGCAGCAGAAATGGTACTGTTTTGCATGCGAGTCCCTTTCTGGGCTGTTCTTTCACCCTACAGCTCTAGATACATTACTGAAGCCGTAGATTTCACAGGAGCTGGTACCCAAATACAGTGTCTCTAAAGCACACTGCAAAAGGCATGGCTTCCTGCTGCCCCAGATACAGCAATTCCTCCAGGGAATGGCGAACAAGGATCTCTAAGAGGGTTTTGCTGTTAAATCTTTTCTTGTTAAGACGTGGAAGAGAAAATCTGCTTTGTGACAGCAGCACTGCAGGGAGTTAAAACCGAAGGGTCACAATAGAGGCACATTTATAACAAGAAGCTTGCTAGAAGAGAGATCTAATACCTTGCAAATGCCGAACACGGCAAGTTTCCAATAGGCAGCTGTTCCTCCAGAAAACAAAAAAAAAGCTCCAAACAACTCATCATACATGCAGGCCAGCTGCCATTTCCGAATTAGAATAAACAGCTACACAAAAAAATATATGTAGTGACTAAAAAAAAAAAAAAGGCAAGAAATTCAGCCTAGTGTAGTACAAACACTGGGAGAGGGGAATTCGATCCTGCCTCCATTTCCTAGACACCGTCCTCATTACTGAGCAGCAACACACAGCTGTCGATAAAACTCAGTCCCGCCGCCTACATCATTATAGGAGACACTAACAAGTAACTTTTTAGAAGCTATTGCAAACAAGGTACTTTAAAAAAAAAAAAAAAAAAAAAAAAAAAAAAAAAAAAAAGCTTGAAAAGAACATTCCTTCCCTAGTTGGGAGACAAGTGCCCCAAACTTGTGCCTCTTCAAGATCCTGAATTTAAAATTTGAGCCAACATGGCTCCTTTTCCTTTTCTTTCTCAATGCTGTTTTCCAGCATGAGACACCCAGGCTCAACTCAAAAAACCCACTGCTACTGTTTTAAGCTATTAACATTTAAAATGGATTCTAGCACAGATGTCTGCTTTTACAACCACAGGAATAAGTTAAAAACGAGAAATCAAAAATTTAATTAAAAGCTAACCTTGGGAAACTGAGCAGCTCCCATTCCTACCCTTCCGCAAGGAGGAAAGTGTGGGTGGAGGGGACGCAGCGTGAGACATGAAGTTCTAAGTCTTTTTGCAACGCCCTGCATTGAAGCCATCAGACACGCTGTGACTGGTTAAAAACCCCCAGGAAGACAGGGGTGATACTTAACGATTTTAGATAGCGCTTAACTTTCAAGACTGTAGAAGAGGTGCTTAGCCAAGACAGAACCTTTTCCGCTGTTACATTGAACAGCTTAGTCCAAATGTTTCTTTAAAAGCATCTTATCAGAGGAACAAAGCACTGACAGCAGCGGATGGCACCAAGTCAGTGAAGGGACTGACTTCCTGCCCATGACCAAAGGCGGCCTCCAGCCCAGCAGCCTGTGATGAGCAGGAAGGCAGAGCCACGAACACTTCTGAATCAGCTCTGCAAACCACTCACAAGGAAGTCCCCAGGTTTGTACCTGCAATTCCTCAGGAATTTACAACAGTGCTGTCATCGAGAGTCAGCAAGCACAGTTTCACCTGCTCCTGCTCACTCCATAAATTACACGGGGAGTGTCCGGGGTGGGCGCAGAGAGGTGGAAAAGAGCCAGGATGAGAGAGAACAGCTTCCTGCATGGCAGGACCAGCTCCCATCAGCTAATGGGCTAAAATGCCAGCACCAATTCCCTGACCTACTTATCAGACTATACTAGCCCAACACCTACATTCATAACACCCCAAAAAAACCCTCCATGAAGAAAAAAACACCCCCATGCAAATAATGATCATCCTTACTGGGAAAGAAATAACAACAGACATGAAAGAAGTACCAGACTTCATTAACAAAAATAAATACACATATTATATTAAAGGTTCTTTGAGCTCCCAACTACAAAAAAACATTTTTCTGAATTCCACTGGCAGTTCCCACAACGATTCATGACATCTGAGGCCAGCCCAGATATGAAAAGACATGGTGATATTGCTCTGGTTTAGGAAAAGAAATGAAAATTAAAAATGCCACAGGTTTTAAGAGAGTATTCACAGGACAGCCACTTACCAATGTCTCAGACATGTTAAGCCAACTTGCTTAAATACATCAAGCAACCAGCTGAGAGAGACAACAGCAGCAGCTACTTCAAAGAACAAAACGATGTATTAGAACAACGCTTACACACTACTGTATGTTTCTTTAGTTGCTTCCAGGCATATAAAGACTAATTAAAGCACCAGTTTACAAGATATAACAGAGCTATTTTTTTAACCTGCAAGATAAAACCACTTACTTTAGAAGCCTGGTACCAGGCAGTACCCAGTATCACTCCTTATGATGGAGGTGAGGCTGCTCCAATGTTATCTTATAAATGAGGAGTTCTTGTAACACCCTGGGAGAGACCCACCAGCTTTTTTTAAAACAAACAAACAAACAAAACAACACACTTGAGAAATCAACTAGAGTTTATTCATAAAGGCAATCGATTTATTTGAAAAACATCATGCACTAGCACTCCCAGAAAGCTACAGGAAGTTCCCCTGTAAGAGCAAGTTGGACTAAGGAGACTCTATGGCAGATAAAAAGGAAGCAAGGATGAATCCATAGTGAAAAGATATTCCACCTATAATATGTTCAGCAGATTCATAAAAACTAAATGGAAAAAAGATTAATAGATATGGAACAGAACTGGGTGATGATCCTTTGGGATAGGGTACATATTTCCAGGACAGTAAAATCTAAAGCTGTTCACAGTTGTAGAAAGCTGTCATGCTGCCAAAGGACTAATAAAAGAGCAGATAAAGTCTGTAAATTGGTAGATAAAAGAGGAATGCAGGTGGGAGAAAGGCAAACATATCTGATTTGTGTTAACCACTGCAAGCTGAAAAAAAAAATAATCTGTGCTCTCATAGCGAGTTCCCTGAGAACATTCGTTTGCTGCTCAGCAGCAGTCAAAACAGGATACTAGGAATTATCAGAACAGAGAGGGAAAAACACGCATCTAGAAAGCCTTTGGTCTGAGCTAGTTACAGATATTTAATGCCTCTGTATAATCTGTCAGTAAAAGGCCTGACACTCAGCCACATTCACGCAGTTCTCAAGAGTGGAGATAATAGCTGCAGTGAGTGGCCAAGGTTCAGAGGAGCTCACCATGGTCATCTAGCACAGGCTGTAGCATAACAAACAGAAGATAAACAACAACAGATACAGAGCAGGCTAACAGAGTTCAAACTCAACAGTAAACATAATTAAACATTTAACCATCTTACTACAGAAGATTATAATAATTTCATGCCTATAATCAAGAACAAGTGTCTAAGACACATGTTCTAGTTCACAGCTGGACACAGCAATGCTGGTGGTGAGGACACCAGCTCTAGTCACACAGGGCGCGGAAAGAAACCTCACTTCCAGCGAGCAGCTTTGGCAGTCTCCAAAATGGAGGTGCTATTTTCGCCATATATATAGAGAGGAGGTATAACCCACCGCTGCACAGGCTGAGGATGTGGGCACGGCAGCTGGAGCACTTCTGGCAAAGCCAGCTGCCGCTGTGCCACCGTGCCCGGCAGGAAGCACTGTGCTGGAGAGTCTTTGGGACAACATTTAAACCGCAGTTTGATCAGCAGCAATTAAAAACCACAAGATACATCCCCTAAAAACAATCAGCTGTCATCCTGCTTGGATACAAAGTTGAGCAATTGCTTTCTCTCTGCTAAAGCTCTACAGGCTGGTTCAAACCGACACAAGACTTATGTAGGGTAAAGCACAGAAAAGCAAAGCTGTTGTGGTGTGTGTTTGCTTGAAGCAAGCCAGGGTGGTTTGTGAGCCGTGACCCAGGCTGTCAGGAAAGACAGAGAAGCCGGCAAAGCCAGAGAAGCTTCCGTGCAAAGGAAAGAGCTGGATCTAGGGATGCATGACATATTCCCAGCCCTCCCCTGGGAAATTCTGCTTCAAAGGAAGAGGAAATGGACACACACTAGTTAATGCTACAGACCACCTGCACTGCTGGCTGAGCCCCCCCCCCGCCCCAAACCAACTGAGAACATGCCAAGAGAAGGAATAGCTGCAAGTGTAGCTGCAGGACCTCCCGCATCTCTCCCAAAGCCAAGGAATAGACTTTCCCGTTGGCACTACTGTACCCAAACACTGGGCGGTGCCAGCAAACTGACTCCAGCCGGAGTTCGAATGATTTTTTTTTTGGTAATAACCTAAATGAGACAGTTTCGCCAACAGAACTGCGTTCTTTCAACCGGAGCGCCAAGTGAGCACTCGCACGGTTGCCCCGTGAAACCCAGTCACTGAAAAACCCCCGCGCCCCGACAGCGGCCGTCCCGTTGGACTTCACCCGAGGCCGATACCACCGGGCTTTC